TCCCCAACATCCTGCTAAACGACCCCAGCTTCGACAACCGTGACGATTGGATGCAGCGGTGCACCGCCTACCTGCACGAGCTCCTCGGCACCGACCTGTTCCTGCCGCTGCGCGCCACGAACATCCAGCGCCACCGCATCGCAGTCAACATGTGCATGCAGTCGCGGGGCAACAGCGGCGTTGGACGACTTCTACTCGAACGCCGCCTTGCCCATAATGACCAACCCCGCGATGCCCCTCGCAGTCGACCCCCTCGTTCATCATTACTCACATACGAAGCCGCCCAACATCGTGCCCGTCGCCGCTGGATCAGCCACATCCTTCCCCTCATCGAGCCCGACGCCAACCCCGAGGACCTCCACCGCGACGATGATGACATTGAAGACGAAGTCCTACCTGAAGACCCCGACGCACAACCAGACCTTCTACAAGCTGAACAAGTTCCCGATGATCTACCTGATCGATGGATGCGCCTGCGCTCCCACTTGGCGACCCTTCCGCCTGCCAGGTTGTGGGGCGCGCTGAAGGTGCTTGCGGGAGCATGGACAACCTCGCACAGGACGCACGTGACCCCAATCAAGCGCTCCTGCCACTTCGGGCGCCCCCTCCCCGACGGCCAAGACGCCATCCAGCACTACGTCATCTGCGGCCGCATGTGGCACCAGCTGGCCAAACCCCGAGGCCAACTGAGCGCTCATTTACTGACGAGGCTTGGACTTCCCAAGCTCACCGAACCCGTCGACGGCGAGAACGGCATCCCCAACAGCGTCGCGAGGCTCAGCGTCGCGACGCGTGTCTACCACCTCACCAAGGACGATGTCCTGCCGATGACGTACCAGAAGCAAGCGACCGCCGTTGCTGCCGCCCGCCACGCTCTGAAGCTGTCCGCCGACTTTTCGGGCGGAGCTGGCGCGCCGTAGTTCGGCCTTCCGACGGACTCGCCCCCTCAGGCGACTTTCTCTCCTCCTCCTCCTCCTGTTATTCCTTCTCCTCCTCCTCTTTCTCCCCCTCTCCATTTCGGCATTCGACCTCGATCTTCTTCTTTTTCTTCCTCCTCCTCCTTTTCCTCCTCCTCCTCCTCTCCCTCCTGCTCCCCTGCTCCTCCTCATCCTCCTCCTCCTCCACAGTTTCACAATCTGAATACTACTCTCCTCTCTCCCCCGCTGACGTCCGGGAAATATTATGACCCTTCCGCGTGCGTTTTTTTACACAAGATTCCCTGGAAACAGATTTTCGCGTGGGTTTTGTTCAAAATGCTGCTTTCGCTCAAGCGCTGGCCTGATTTTCGGGCTGCCGCTCGTTCCGAATCGTGCTCCCGCTGCAGCGTTGGCATCATTTCCGCGCTTCCGCTCGTTCCGAATCGTGCTCCCGCGGCAGCGCTGGCGTCATTATTTCCAGCGCCATGCCGCGGCATGGTTTTCGTTTTTTCCCAAGTCGGCCCCAACATCTGGAAAATGCTCCCCGGAAAAACCATCGGAAACGATTCCACATTCGGTGTCGATTCGTTGACTCTTGGGCCGCAGAAGCCCCCCCATCCCCTTTGGGGCTTCGCCACGCCATGCTATGTCTGGCTACGCGTCCTCCGAATCGCGCTCCCGCTGCAGCGCCGGCCTCATTTCCGCGCTTCCGCTCGTTCCGAATCGTCTTTCCGCTGCAGCGTTGGACTCATTTCCGCGGTTTCGCTCGTTCCGAATCGAGCTCCCGCTGCAGCGCTGGCGTCATTATGGTAGTGGCCTCCGGCCAGTGCCGCCGATCCTGGGCGCTCCCGATGCTGATGGGAATGGATGGCCGTGCATGCTGAAGATGCAGCGCTCGTTCGAGACATCCTAACAAGATGAGCGTGTGGAAGTCGGTTGCGAAAATTTTGGATCTTGGAGAATGACGCTCTCGCGTGAGTCACCATTAAAACCATGAAATGCAGGAATAGTTGTTGCACGCCATCTTTGGGGCGCGCTCTTGGAGTACCCCCAATGCGTCTTGTTCTGGATTCTCTTGCGGGTGTTTTGGGGCCTGTTGGGGCCTCTTGGGGGGCGTCTTGGAGCCTCTGGAGATCGTCGTGAAAGGAACGACTTTGACTTTCGGTTCGGGCTCTCCCTCTTGGGCCTCTCCTGGGGCTCTGGTGGAGCCCTCTTGGACTGGTTTGGGCGCTTCTTTGGCCGCCTTGGCGTTCCCTTGCGCCGTTTTGGGGTCGTCTTGGGAGCCTTTGGAGCCGTCTTGACGCGGTCCAGGGAGTTTGTGGGAGGGTCGGAAGCGAAGCCCCCCGCCCCCGAGCACTGCATGGCGCCAGGAATGGCGTCCCCCCACTCCCCCCCTTGCAGAGCGACCCCCCCCCCCCCCGGCTCCTGAGCACTGAATGGCGTCGAGAATTGGCGTCCCCCCCCTGCAGAGCGAAGCCCCCCCCGGCTCCCGAGCACTGAATGGCGTCGGGAATGGCGTCCTCCCCCCCCCCTTCCGTGCAGAGCGAACCCTTCCCGGCTCCCGCGCACTGAACGGCGTCGGGAACGGCGCCCCCCCCCCACCCCCCCTTGCAGAGCGAAGCTTGAGCGAGCTCAAGTCCACGATCTCACAAACTCACACGCTGGATCGGCGGATGCTTCCGCTGCAGTGTTGGACTCATGTCCGCGCTTCCGCTCGTTCCGAATCGTACTCCCGCTGCAGCGTTGGCGTCATTATTCCCAGTGCCATGCTACGGCATGGTTTTCGGTCCCTCCAAAGAGGCTCCACCATTTAGGAAATGGACCCCCGAGCAACCATCCGAAGGGATTCCACATTCGGTGTCGATTCGTTGATTCTTGGGGCCGCAGAAGCCCCCTATTTGGGCGTCGCCATGCCATGCTATGTCATGCTACGCGTTGATGTTCAACACCATACAATGCCATGTAATGCTACGCCCTACTGCGACATCCGACTGTGCGAATATAGAGGAGATCTACGCCATGGTGCGGGATGGGAGGGAGGGGTAGGACGTCAGATATGACGCGAGCGCACCTAGCCTGTCCTCCTCCCCCCTCCTCCGCCTCCTCCTCCTCCGCTTCCTCCGCCTCCTCCGCCTCCTCCTCCTCCTCCTCCGCCTCCTCCGCCTCCTCCTCCTCCTTCTCATTCTCCTCCTCCTCCTCCTTCCCCTCCTCCTCATCCCCCCTCTCCATCCGATTTGGCTCCAGACATTTTGCTCCGAGCGGGCACGCGCGCCCTAGCAATGTCCGTGCTGGTAGCCTCTGCCCAGCGCATGTCAGGTGATGCCGCCTGGGATGCGAACGTCCTTGAGAGATCTGTCATGCATTACTTTTGGGATCGCGAGCGACGCAGGCAGCTGCGCGCCGTCAAGGTAGTCAGACGACAGGCCAACCTAACAGGCCAGGCGGAAAATGGCCACAACGGTGGCGAGAACTACGCAACGAACGAGGGCAAGGAAGAGAGCGAGGCGAAGCGAGAGAGAGGCGAGGCGAAAAGAAACACGGCGGAGAGGGACAGACGCGCCACAGTTCAGGCTCAGGCAACGCCGAGGACAACTGTTCTGCTTTACACGAAATGCATGGAAAAAACAAGTCGAGGAACACAATAGTGAGCTGTTCCGACTCCGCCAGCAGATCAGGGTTTCCTTTCGGCGTGGACTTGCTGGTTCCACTGAGGCAGACAAGAGCTGTTTGAACACAAGCGCAATGGAGTCCGTTCCCATACCCCGCAGCACTGGTTTGATAAGTTCAGGTGAGTTTTGCATCGTGAGGCCGGGTGGTCAAGCCCTCGATATGACTTCGCACCCTGGTGTTGAGCACCAATTATGTGAGCACCACCTGGTGGAATTCAAGCACGGTGATAAATACAGTTTGCTTTCTGTCGGTGGTAAGTGGAAGCTTGTCCCAAACAACATCGGGAAACATTTTGACACGGACGGTGCATGCATACCTCGCGCGGTAAATGAGAGTTGATGTTTTCCGTTGCTATTTGGTTTCACGTTCGTCGTGCCAGCCCCCGGGAAGGACGTTCCGAGCATGAGGCGCCGATGGGTAACGTCGATCTTTGTCGTGATGTGGGTCCACCTTCCGACCGTGTGGACGGGCTCATCTGTGCTTGTGCAATCAGGGTTCTGAGAAAGTGTTTGATCTGTTCAATGCCATACTCACATGCGGGCCGACTGGAAGACGACTGCTGCAACGATGCAGCAACAACTCGACCGAGACTGGGAGGAAGCACCTCGCTAGAGAGAACCCGCCTCGCTAGAGAGATTAGCAGCTGCCTGGGAGAAAGGTACGTGGAGCACTTTCTTTCGTTCTATCGACCAAGGGGACCGAGAACGTCTTCGGATTCTGCAGCAGGTCTGGGCCAAAATGATTTAGCAGCCAGCGGTTCCACCTGCGCTTCTGTATGGAGGATTTGGTTGGTGAGATTTGGTGGTTCCCATACACTCGCACTCTGCTTCATAATCTGATTCTGCATGCCTGGATGCGCCGCATCAGAGGTCTGAGATTTGCGTGATGGTTTCGCTTATCTGTGGTCCCCCATGTGGCAGGGACCGGCATCTTGTGAGTCATGCGGTCACGCAGAGTGGCAGCCTCGTATTTCGGGCCATCGAACTGTTATCTCTCGTCTGGCTGCTCTCTCTGGCTCTTCCCCTTCCCAGCCCCCCTGGCCCCCCTCTTGTCTCGCATTCGTTCCCCCTTCGGTGTTTCGCTTTCGGCCCCCCGCTCGCCGGGTCCCGACAGCGCCCCTGCCGTCCAGAGTGCTTGTCGCATGCGTGGTTCGGCATCGGTCCTCTGCAGAGCCATCGAGCACTGCCCTCCTCCTCCTCCTCCTCCTTTTCCTCCTCCTCCTCCTCCTCCTCCTCCGCCTCCTCCTCCTCCTCCTCCTCCCCCTCCTCCCCCCCCCTCCTCCTCCTCCTCCTCCCTCCTCCTGGGTCCTTCCCCAGCTCGCCGAGATGCGATGCCCGGCCGTCCCCCCCCCCCTCTCTTCTTCGACGGCTCTCCCTCGCCGGGCTCGGGGGCCTGGGGCCGGCTGGGCCACAGGCAGCTTCCTGGAGAGGCGGTTCCGCTGGCTCGCGGAGCTGGAGCCGCCCAGGTCGACGACGCTGCTGGTGGAGGCTCCGACGTCGCCGCAGCCGTCGTCGCCGGCGCAACGCCGCCGCCGCCGTCGCCGCCGCCGTCGTCGCCGCCGTTGTCGCTGCCGTGGTCGCCGCCGTATCCTTGTCATCGTCGTCCTCTTCGTCGTCGCCGTGGCCGTTGTTCCAGGGGGGGGAAGAAGACAGATGAGGAGAATCTGGGGGATGGGGAAGAGGAGGAGGAGGAGAAGGAGGAGGAGGAGGTTGACGACGACGAGGTCTACTGCTGCGTGAAAATTGTATGTGCGTGGGATGGTTTCTAGTATTGCTCTCAGATGTCTGAGGGGGTTTCGGGAGGCGGTCCACAGGTGCCCATGGGGTGAGATTTGGCGTACTAGCTCAGGAGTAGGAAGAGGCGAAAGGGGAGCAGAACCTGGAAGGGAGCGGGCAGCTGCGCCTCCGCCCCGCGAGTCTTCGCCGCCGGCTTAGCCCTGATCTCAGAGCAGCTCCTCCAGGACAACCCCACGCTGACGGACCTGTTCCACGAGTGCACCTTCGTGTCGCGCGTTGAGCCGAATATGGGCAATGCAGCGGTGTTGTAGGACGACGCGGCCGAACTGCGGGTCCAGACTGCTGCTTCGGAGCCGCGCTGGGGGGCCAGGAAGACCGACCGCGCCGCCGAACAGCTCGGCTTCGCCCTTGGCCCTGGCCTCGACAGCGGGGGCCGTTGGCGCAAGCCGCTCGAGAAGTTCGACGGGAGGGCGGCGGGCAATGGGCGGGTTCCAGCTCGCGCTGCTCGCGGCCCGTACCTCTGCCGGCTCTCCGTGGTCGATGCTTGCCCCCATTCATCTGGCACCCGCAGCGTGGAACCCGCAGCGCCCGTGACGTTGACCCGTTGTTTTTTTCAGTCGTGGAACCCATATCTCCTCCGTTACGGGGGGGGGTCGCCCTTAGTGGGCCCTGGAAACGACAAGGCCGTTTTTGTTACCGGTTCCGTTTTGCCGCTTTTTGCTGGTTCCGACGCCGTTCTGTTACCGGTTCCGTCGCCGTTTGTTGACCGGTTCCGGCTCCGGTTCCAATCCTGGAGCCGTTTTCCTGCCGTTTCCGATCGCCGTTTTTTTTGCCGTTTCCATTTTCAAGGGACATTTTTGGGGAAACGGTGGAAACAAGGCCCTGCCGCTTCCCGGGCCCACTACAGGGGGTCGCCCCCTCCTGCCGCTGACGAGCGTACGGGGGGTGGGGCCGGCCCCCCGACCAGCCTTTCAAACCATGGCCGAAGCCACTGTCCGAGGAGGAATAGGAGGAGGGACGACGAGAGAGAGAGTAGCAGGAAGCGGCGACGCGGCAGCACAGCATGCAAGCTCCAGTGGCTACACAGAACGCTCCTCCTCCTCCTCCTCCTCCTCCTCCTCCTCCTCCTCCTCCTCCTCCTCCTCCTCCTCCTCCTCCTCCTCCTCCTCCTCCTCCCCCCTCCTCCTCCAACGGGTTTCGGTGGCGACTGTTCCCCGCTCGTGGGCGGCTGGCCCACGTGGCCTGGATGTCGCGGCATGCGAGGCACCCTTTAGGGGGTTGGCCTGCAGGCTCGACGCAGGGCGCGACCTCGCTCCGCTCCGCGGTGGAGCCGGCGCGGAGCAGGGCGCTCACCTCGCCACGGCCTGTGTCGCCAGTGGTCAGGAGGCGAGCTGCTCGTGTGCGCGCTGCTGCTCCCGTGTTCACAGGTGTGAGGGAGGCCTGCGTGCGGGCCGGCTTTTTGTTGGCGGGTGATGCACGGGGCGGCGGTCCCAGCTGTTCAGCGGATGTTGGTGTCGAGCGTTCTTTCTTTGTGCTGCGTGGTGCAGGATCTCGTCCGGCGGGCGGCAGTTCCAGCTGATTAGCGAAAGGCTATGTCGAGCATTGCCCTTGGTGCTTCGCGGTGCAAGATCTCGTATGGCGTTACCTGGCCCTGCCTCCCTCCTCTCCCCCGTCCGATTGTTTGCTGCTTCCGCTGCCGATTCAGTCGCTTGGTCGCCGCAGCTTCGTCCGCGAGGCCGCCTGCACGGCAGCCGCGTGTAGGCTCCAATGTCGAGGGCGACATCTGCGGATTCACTGGCCCGCGGGCACCCCGCCGCGCGCAAGCAGTGGCGACGTCGTTTGCGGGCACCCGCCCGCCGCCGTGACCATACGCGCCGGCGATTTGTCTCCCCCAGACCCCGAGCTCAGCCCGAGCAGTGCGGCAACTCAGAACATATTGGGGAAATCGTGGCAAACCTTGGGATACACCCCAAGGGGGCTATTCGGACGCACCCGTCATGGAGAAAAAGGACGCCCTCCCCATCGTTCATCCTAGGGCTGGGCCAAGATTGCTGGTTCATTCGAAGATCCCACGAAGCCTGGGATCGGGGTCGACATATCATATCCCCTGTTACATACTGGACTGGGCTGGTCTCGCTTGGCCGCCCCTCCACTCGTCCCTCTCCCACTCTCTTCGTCCTTGCCGCTGCCGCCGTCGCCGGCTATCCGCCGTAGGCCATAGTGATCGGTGTCATTCACCGTTCGGTGGGCCGCACGGACAATTACCGGCGATCGACACTGTCGTTCTAGCGCGCATGCGCAGAGCTCTCGCTCGCTCGCTCTTTCGGTGTTCTCATGATCTCTCCCCCCTGTGCCCCTCGGTTCGCTGGTGTCTTG